AAAAAAAAAAAAAAAAAAAGAAAGCTTGTTCTTTCTGTTTTCCTGGCCATGAGGGAGTGACCAAATACCAAACAGCAATGCCCGTGCAAAATTATTGCAACTACACTTTGAAATAGATACATTATACTTAAAAGATCCACCTTCCAATTTTTTTAAGGTAGATTACCATAAACATTGGTATGCAGTCCCTGAGCACACACATGTTCCAAAGGATGGTGGAGAAACCCAAACTTGAATTTGAAATCTCTTCTGGAAACTTTGAGTTGACATTATTGATGATTAAGCAGTAATTAGACATGGTTTACATGTTTTTCCAGAGCGGATGCTTGGAATATAAGTATAAAAAAAAAAAACCTCTACCCTGATCTGGTACCATTGTAAATTTCTCAGAAGGCAAAGCTCCCCTTCTGACAGCAAAAGATGTTTGAGACTGGCTTATTACATCCTCTCTGCTACAACATCACAGTGCACTCTGTTCACCCTCAACTCCCTTTTTAAGGTTAGGAAGACCTTTCCGGAATTCTCATTTGCACCCTGGAAAGCTGAGTTAGCCCCATTTCTATTGTCTTTGTCCACCATATGTAAGTCTCAATTTAGCTCAAGGACTGAATAAAAAACCATTTCAAGGTGATGTCACACTGACTCACATCTCTGTAGACCACCGACCTCTTGGTCCAAGAGAGAGTGTAGTCATTTGAACCACCCACAAAAATACTTATAACATATCTCCTGGGAGACAAGTCCACAAAATACCCAAACAGCCACTTGAGGCAGAAGGCCAATCTCAAATGGACCAAGAGCAACTCTCCCACTGCACTGAGCAGATAAACTCACCTTGTCAATGAAGGAGGCAAATTGGTTGTTGAGTGTCTTGATTTGCTCCCTTTCTCGAGACTTTACTTTTTGAATCTCAGGGTCAATCTCCACATTGAGCGGCTGCAGAAGACTCTGGTTGATGGTGACTTCCTGGATGCCACCGGGGGGGCAGACAGGCCCAAAACTCCCTCCACCAAAACCACCTCCACCGAAACCACTGCCACCAAAGCCACCTCCACCGAAACCACCTCCACCGAAACCACTGCCACCAAAACCACCTCCACCGAAACCACTGCCACCAAAACCACCTCCACCGAAACCACCTCCACTGCCAAAACCACCCCCAAAGCCACCACCACCAAAACCACCACGTCCTCCTCCGGCCACGCTTATGGAGATGCTTTTACTGCCACCAAGGTTAACAAGGCTTCGACTTCCAAAACCACCACCACCAGCACCCCCACTGCCACCACCACATCTTCCCCCTGAAAATCTCCCGCCACCTCCCCCACCATGGCGGACGGAGCTGCTAGTCATCCTGCGCCGGAAGCTGACCACTCCGGCAGAGCCAGAGCTGAAGCCCCCTCCACTCCGGAACCCAGACCTAGAGCTAAACTGTCGACTCATGTTGACTAGGAGAGAGTTGGAGCCAAGTCAGGAGAGGAAAGGAGCCCACACTCCTCTACCCCAAGCACAGAGACTGTCCCTTTTATACAGAGAGCACATTTGGGCTTGGTCCTCAAGTCAGCGGGACGCAGAGCCATGCAAGGGTTTGGCTTGCCTGCAGCCATACAAGATTTTTACGAGCCTCAGCAATGCTATAAACAATACACACCTAGCTCCCAGGATGGCTCTCAAAATTGCTGTGAGTGCAAGATCGCCTGTGTAGCAATCATTTTATCAGACCAAATCTCTCTTCAAGTGCTTGTGACTTTGGGAAAATAGGACCCTGCATCTGCCTCCTGGTGTTTCTTGGGAGGATTTCATCACCTCCTGTCACAAAGATATGTATGTTTCCATTCTCGCCTTGCCCATGTAAGCTGCTAAGCACACTGTCCCCTCAGGCCCGGCAAGTGCAATGCCCCACTCTTGAATCGGGGGAAGAATTCTCTGGCCTGCTTCTGAGCTTGCTCTCTAGAGCCCAGGGCTCAGCAAGTCATATCTCCGGGCACAGAACAAAAGCTTTAATAAGTGAAAAAGTAAAAGAACGTGTTTTCATTAAATGGAAGCTTTACAAACGTGTGTGTTAATATTAAAGGAAGAGACACCGGCAGAGAACAGGATGGATGGGTAGGTGTTCTGGAAGGACCAGAGGGAAAGACAGGTTCTTCTAAGTTTACCAGCTGTTCCTTTTCCTCAAAGACAGGCCAAGACAGGAGACAGAGGCACCAGCAAAAGAAAACTGGTGGAAACGGAGGGCATGACTACACTCTCTCTGGACAAAGAGGTCTGTGGTCCACATAAGGGTGGGTAAAGTGATATCACCTTGAAGTATTTTTTTATTCAGCTCTTGAGCTGAATTGGGACTTACATAGGGTCAGTGAATACAATAGAAATGGGGCTAACTCAGGGGCGCCTGGGTGGCTCAGTCGGTTAGGCGTCCGACTTCGGCTCAGGTCATGATCTCACGGTTCGTGAGTTCAAGCCCCGCGTCGGGCTCTGTGCTGATGGCTCAGAGCCTGGAGCCTGTTACGGATTCTGTGTCTCCCTCTCTCTCTGCCCCTCCCCTGCTCATGCTCTGTCTCTCTCTGTCTCAAAAATAAATAAACGTTAAAAAAAAAATTAAAAAAAAAAAGAAAAAAAAAAGAAATGGGGCTAACTCAGCTTTCTAGGATATACAAATGCCAGCGGGAAAGGCCTACAGAGCAGGGGGGTAAGAGGTCCAACCTACTTTGTACATTTTGCAAAGCAAAAGGGTGAACATGAGGCTTCACAGGGGCTTCGAGCCTCACAGCAGATGGTATGGACAGATGAATATAGACTTGGCAGGGAAGACAGGATGCAAGTCTGAAAAGCCTGACCCGAGAAGATAAAATGGTTTCTGGACAATACTAGCAGTAATAGCAACAACAATAATAATAGCTAAGATGTATCAAAACCTGACATGCGCCAGACGCTGTTCTGCATATTTTATATGTAGTAACCTACTTCGTTTCACAAATCTGAGATAGAGGCTATTAGGCTACCCCTTTTTAAAACAAGAAAACTGAGGCAACAAAGCTCAAGTTTACAGGGATGGTGAGTGGCATGGCTGGGATTTGAACAGAGGATGCTGAGTTATAACGTGTGAGGTCCTAACCAGCGACCTGCATGAGAGTACAGCACTGAATGCAGGGTGTGCTGCCCACGGTGTGTAAAGCCAGACGATGTAAGCAGCCAGGTGCCGCAGAGAGGTCCAAAGGCAGGAAGCTTTGAATTGTATCCCTTTAAATCCTTGGTCCCAGACATGCGCAGGTGCCCGGAAAAGGTTTCTTCAACTCACTCTGAGAAGGGGAGAAGGCAGGCACGGAGTTCAGGGGGCAGATTTTGCTTCCATCGGGTGCAATAGTGTCTAAACTGCATGGCGACTGGCCAGGAAGCCCCAGGGGCCCTTCTGGAGAGTACCGCTTGATAGATATTCATGGACAGAAGTGGCGTTGAGATCCAGAAAGACCTGAACCCCACATAGGCTTTCCTGCTGAGACTTCTTAGAAGCCGGGCCTGCTCCCCACACCTGTACATGAACACAGAACTTAAGAGTCCGTGGGAAACCAATGCTAACAGCTGGCTCTGAGCAGCTCGCCTATGTGTGGGGGTCTCCACTGGTGGATACAAGGCACACGAGAGAAGGGCGACCAGTGACGATCATCCCACCCTGTCGCCGTGTGCTCCTGAAGCATCATAGCCCTGGTCAGCCCTCCCTGGTCCAGGCCTCACCACTGAGCCCTGCCCCTCCTCTTCTCCCAGGGTTTTTGTACACACCCTCCTCCAGAAGTACCCCTCA